TTGGTACCTTTTCGAGTGAAATTGCTTTCGTTGGTTTTATATAGAAGCAGCGAGAATTCTTGAACCCATGATATAGTACTCCTGAACTTAGGTCAAATGAGTCGATAAAAGTCCTCAACTAATAGAACACATTTGGCACCGCCCAAGGACGACTTCTTCTAGGTTGTAAAAGTATTTGTTAGCTTTAGGTTTATGCAAAACTATTAATGTTATATTTATGTCGTATGTATGCTAACAATTACTGCAACTAATAAATTTATAGTGTAACAGGATGCTATTTCTTTTCGTTCGTTACTTGCGTTCAGATGAGGATCAATTCCTGTTTTTCTCTGAATGTTACGCTATACTTCTTTACTCTCAGAGCACAGTTATTGTAGGAAGGTCAGTGAAAAATATTGGACTGAGGGACGTTTCAGAGGTGCGTCGAATAAACGAGTTCCTACTGTGCTCACTGGCAATACGTCAAGGTTCCAATGACGCAGATCAGACGTGTTGTGCGCGCTTTCGACGCTTCGTCCCTGCTCGCACTTCTCAGTGTTCCGTGTGCTAAAGTTTGATTTATTCGTTGTTTCTGCGTCTCTTCCTACTGCTATCTGCTTTGAACTGTTTGCGGTAAAATCTGCTTTTTTGCTGGGTATTCTTAATCTTCTTGGTTATCTGTGGAAAGTAGAGTTGGTTCTTTGGAGCGGCGGACGTGACTTTTGCACACGATCGATCGAACCGTCTTTTTGCATTCTTCATTGCTCAGTTTCCATGGGTTGTTGGTACCGTATTTATAATGCCTCTTTACTGGTAATGAATCGAAACATTTTACGGATCATGTTATGTCTTTCCTCATTAGCGCGATTTCCTTCACAAACGCTTTTCTTTTAGGTAAGAATGTTATCGGTGGCAAGGCGCAGTATTGGCAGCCTGGTCTCCCGTCGCGCCTATGCTCCCCTAGCTGCACATACATCCGATGCTAAACAGGGAAATATCGCCAACTACAAGGTTGTAGACCATGCATATGATGCTGTCGTCGTTGGTGCAGGTAATTATGCCCATTTGAATATTATATCGTTTCAAGGCTTCGAACCAGAATGCAGAATTAGATCTGAGAATTTTATTAAATACAGAAAGCGCAAGTATCACATTGCTGTTTCTAGTCCGTAAAATATTTTCAAAAAATAAAGTTTATCAAGTGATTTTTTAAAGAATTGAGTTTGGGCTAAAAAGCTCTAAATGTTTCTTCAAAACTAAAATCAAAGCTATTCAACATTAGTTGAGTG